AAACATTACTTTTCAATTACAATTACTATTGTAATTATAACACAAAACATAACAAACCAACACAAAGATGGAAATAACCAGACTTGCTACACTTGTTTAAAAAAAAGGGTACATTTATTTAAATAAATTCTTCCACAGTGTAGCAGGTTAGCACACCTGCCTTACACGTCAGCCTTACAAGCAGAGAGTCCTGTGTCCAAGTCCCAGAGGAACCACATACTGTATCTCTAAACTACAGGTTACTGCGTCCTGACATTGAAACTGTCTGACAACACACAAAAAAGGGATCGACTTCACACTATGTTTACATATGAACAGTATAATACAGTGGGGCCTCGAGATACGAGTTTAATCCGTTCCACAACAGCACTCATGTGTCGATTTACTCGTATCTCGATTGGTTTCCCCAATAAAAATAACTAAAAACCACTTAATTTGTTCTAACACTCCAGAAATATCCATCCATTTTCATCCACTTATCCGTTACCGGGTCGCGGGGGCAGCAGTCTCCACTCAAATCACATTGCACCGTACCAACCCCCCAAACCTTCCCGCGGGTGGTGAGTCCACTAGAAGGTACCAACCGCCCTAACCGGGATTCAAACTTGCCCAGGAGGTGAACCCTGGGGTTCCACATCAATGACAGAGACATTGCCTCTGGGCCAAAGCGCCGCTGGTCATTTTTTCTATAGCCAAAACAATCCCACACTGCTGACGTTTGTTAGAGGGGAATAACTGTTCTCCTGCTATTTTTCCCAACTCGGTAACACCTCTGTTATGCAACTGGCAGAGACAGAAAACAAAACCACACACAGATGTTCTATAATTTATTTGTTTACTGAGATTATGTAAAACAAAACCACACACGGATGTTCTGTAATTTATTTGTTTACTGAGATTATGTATCCCTAGCAGTTACAGTTAATTGTGATATTGAGTGATCATGACATCTTTAGTATGTAGCTATCCCTAATAATTACTATGTTATCCACAGTTTACGCTACAAAACAGGCTAAAAGTATCAATACAGTACCTTAGAAATCAATCCAATGACAGCTTCAGAGAGGTCTAATTTTGTGGATTGTGTAAATGTGAACAGGAGGGTTCGGTAAGGGCGTTTGAGGGACCTGCTTTAGCCTTGTCAACCCCATTGTCTTCATATCCTTGCAGTCTACCGGGGACCTGCCGT